CTGCTGAGGCTGTGTTCTCTCAGCAGGCTCCAGGATGTTACTTTCAGGCTTCTCTCAGGACCTGGGCTTATACTTGCTCCAAGCCCAGTCTTCCTCCTGAGTCAGACGACTCCTCTGTCAGGCTCAGACTCACCTGCCAGCTCTTCACGCAGCCTGACCTCTTAAAATGTCAGGCACCCCAAGTGCCCTTCCACACTCAGCCTGGGTGGGTATATGTCCAACCTACACCAAAGACCTCCCCCCACATAAGGATTTCTGCCCTCCTTTGGGGTCCTACTCCAGCCCTGAGATGGCCCCACACAACCCCCAAACAGCTTCCCTGGTCTCATCTACCCCATTACCAAGTAGACAGAGTTTGGGGTATACAGCCTGTTCTCCCCCAGGCCCTGGCACTCATGAACACCAACACCCTCTCCTTCCCCATAAGTAGGGGGGGTTGGTTCCTGTCAGTCTCAGCTTGGGGCCATCTCAGATCAGGGTTCCTCATGCACTGGAGCAGAAAGCAGTGCAGGAGGAAGAGATAGGTGCTAGTGCCCTATAGAGCCCATGTTCTAGGATCAGTGAGGTGCAGGCACCCGATCAAGGACTCACTAGTTCCGCAGATCCTGCAGGGGGTTGTGTGTCCTCACCCTTGTCCCAAGAGAGGAGAAGTGTTGTGCTTAAATTCCACCGGAAAGCCAACTTATATATGTGAACATGAGTGTGTTACACAACACCTGTGATGAAATTGCAGCTGGGAGCTAATGCCCTGTGGCAATGCAAAAGCCTGGGCAGTAAATGAGGGAGGGTGGAAGAGTCTGTGGCTCTAGAAAACCACAAAGCAGCTTCTGCCTCTGAGCTGTCTGCCAGGACACATGCAGGGGCTGATTAGAGAAATGGTTGGACTCTTGGCCTCTCTCTCACGAGTACCTTTCCCACAGGGCCTCTGTGTGAAGATGGAGGGACAGAGGGGATAGAGGCATGGGGGAAGAGGGAAGGAAAGAATGAAAGAGCATATGAACATGGATGGATGGATGGATGGATGGATGTTGCATGGGGATGGAGGGATACATGTACAGGAAGGGATGGATTGTGGAAATTTGATAAGGTTCATGGGAAAAACAGATGGATGGATGGTGGGGAACTAGGGATGGATGGACAAATGGATAGACTGATTGACACAGGGTGTACAGGGATAAAGAGAGAGAGAGAGAGATGCTGTATGGGGATGGATGGATAAATGGTGCATGGGGAAGTGGGGAACAAGGCTTTTCCTCCCTCCAATTTCAGAACTAAAGAAAACCTAGGTAAAAATAAAAGAAGGAAAATGAGAATGCTAAAATAAGCCATAGAAATGTATATCATCAAAAATATGAGGAAAAGTATTCCGCCAGAAACTAAATGAAAAATAAGGAAGGAAATGCAAATCTTGGACATTTGAAACAAAGAAAAACCAACAAGCTGGGAAAAAAATTAAACCCCCAAAACTTGAGAAATAATCAAAATCCAGGAAAATGAACAAAAACAAAAACACAGAAGCAAAAATGAGAAAACCCTAGAAAGTTGGAAGGAAATTGGAAATAAATGCCTGAAACACAACAAGTAAAAAATGAAAATAAAATACACTGCAAAGCAATCCTCTGACTATGCTGGAAACTGTAGTTATGGTACTAAAACCACAGACTTGCCAAACATGTATATCAGCTTCCTTCGTTTCTTAAGTGAGCATTCCTAATAAGGAAAGACTGGTCAATCTTGTTTCTTATAATCTTGTTTCCTATTATCTTGTTTCTTATAAAAGCAGAATTAATAAAAACTAAGAACTAATAAAAAAGAGAAAGTGGAAAGAAGTGCAAACTAATAATGTAAAGAAATGGAAAACTTGAGGAAAAAGGACTGAAAATCTTGTGAAACTGGAAAACATGAGAAAAAATTAAAATCTGGGAAAAAAACCATAAAACTGAAATATTGAAAAATAGGGAGAGAAAAAAACCAAAAAATCCAGAAAGCTGGGAAAAGAATAGAATGAAAGAAAGAAGCTATAACCCTACAGAGCAAGAGGTAAGCATCAAAAATAAATGGTGAAGCTTGGCATAGTTAAATATAAAAACCATCCTTTGAAATTAACCCTGAAAGTAAGAGAGTAACAAATTTAGGTCATAAGAGGCCTGTACCCCAATTCACCCTGCAGATCCCATCAGTTTTTAACACCTCAGGCAATAAGCACATCTGCTTGGTGTTATGACAGTCAGGTTAGAAGCTAACCAAGGTTTGATATGCCTCTCGCAGATACACACACATCTGCAATACTCAGCATCCTGCCAGTGGCCGGGAGATCTCATCTGGCAAACCTCAATCCCTGGCCACAGCCTGTCAGTCTATGCCATGCAACACACTTGGGCTGAGCAGCTAGAGCAGTTCTGTGGAGGGAGCGATCCATCATCCCCCATCCATACTGTGCAGTTGGCAATTCAGCCTCAGGGAGCTCATATGTTCAATTTACTTCTCCTAGCATAGAATTCCCAGCAGGCATAAATCCGCTAGAGCTTCACTGAACTTATGGGGAAGGCATCAAGCCCCCACACTCAGCAGGTGCAAAACTGGGGGGCTGTTGGAGCTGTGGGAGCTCAAGGGGGGCAAAGTAATGCCACTGCATTGAAGTCAGGGGGTAGGGTCAATCCACAGCTGGTGTAAACAGCGATTACTCTAGGACCAAGTGACCCTGACTCCGGTGATGTCAGGGAAGATTCCTAAGGATTTTCATCAGGGTTCTCTGAGATCACAATCCAACTCTAACTCTGTAGATTGAAGTGGAGTCACTCCTGACTTACACCAGAATTACATCAGGGTTGCCAAGATCAGTATCTGGCCCTGAATCCATTGACTAAAGTGGGGCCACTCCAGATATGCATCATGGTCACTCAGACCAGATATGCAGTGTCCTTAGGAGCACAGAGCATGACGGGGTCTCCTGGGACACTGAGTCCAGTCTCCTGCCATCAAAACCATCATTGCAAACCCTCACTCACAACTGCAAGGCACAATAGGTTTTCAGCTGAAAACCTGACACCCTATGATGTGCTACTGGTCACCACTGGGGGATACAGGCTGTGCTAATGCTCTGAATTAGTTGACAAAAATTCAGTGGATCCTGGAAAGTGGCTGTGAGCCACATAACAGAGGAAGTTGAAACTTTCAGTTACTGCAAACCTGTTTTGAGACAAAAATTCCTTCCTGACCACAGTGTGACAAAGGGTCTAACACTGAGTGGAAGAGCAGGACCCCAAGCCAGGAGCTCTGAGTTTGCTTAGTACCAGCAGAAGCATCAGTGCACCCCAGTAGCAAAGTAGCTGCACAGACCCCCCCTCCCCCCACACACCCACCCTGGGTCCATGGGAGGAGGACCTCAATACTTTGGCTCTCCTTCTCTGTACAGATTCTTCCCTCCTAGCAGCACAGTGGCCACACTGGCTTATGACAACAGCCTCTCCTGACA